TTTTTATTTAGATGTATTTTTACCTTTTTATCAAATTTAAGTGTTTTGATCTGTAAGGATCATTAAAAGCTGGCAATTGGCCCAAACATGCTCGTCATTCAGCAACACTGGCTATTAAAGATTTAAATTTAATTAGTTAAAATGAAATTGAAAAGTCAAACATTTAGTTCTTCATTCACACTAGGCACATTTTCCCCGACTCAGTAATCATCTCAGCGGTTCTATGGATCAGCTGCTCTAGATTAGCGGAGTTCACAAACTACCCCGACTGAGGGCTGCAATCTGGCCCACCAATCATGTTTTTGTTAATCAATAGTGGTTATTGGAATACAGCCATTCCGACCCATTTTCGTTTGCATATGGTTCATGGCTGGCTTTCCGACTGTACAGGCACGAATTCGATGAGAATTCAAACAGAATCCTTACAGGCTCACAGACGACTAAATGTTTTCCTTTTCATTTTTTTTACAGAAAAAAATGTGACCTCTGCTTTAGCATATATATACTTGCATAAAGTCTATCAGGTTGTTTTGAATGCAGCAGAGTTATTATATGCATGGCGATATATTAGCTTATATACCGCATGTCTCTATCTACACAGCGCACGTTATCGCATCTTCCGCGTCAAACAAGATGGGCCAACACAACCAGGAACGACAATCAGAAAATACGAGTATCAAGACCCCAACCCCAGATTCCTAGGCCACGAACAGTCATTCGCGCTGTGGACAACTAGAAGCATATGTCCTCTGGGTAGCGATCAAGTGTCCTGTTCCAAATGATGAAGACAAGCTTACAAGAAAGAAGGAGTATCAGCTAAGACTGCAACAGTCAGGCATAGCAAGGTGCCGATATCATTAAGGTGGGCTGGACAACTGGAGGCTTTTGGGTGCCAGGTGCCAAGGAAACCTTTCCACCATAGCGTGCGATGGGGCACATTGTCTGTACCTGGGCCATCCCTCGGTTGGGAGTTAGGGAGGAACTTTGTGCAACATGGCGACATTAGAAGATTCAATAAACCGCAAGGCTGGGGTGAAATATAGTAAACATGTTAGATGGAGAAAACTTTTCAATTTAGACTATACTAGAAATTATTCACTAAATGTTTGAATTCATAACAGAATATCCAACCTTCTACATTTTGACAGATCGGACTCATTTTTAGTATTTTTATAGTCTTTATCTCGTGGCATGTTATCAAGGAACGTTGTTTACTCACCTCTCGATGACCATGTTGAAACATCTTTCAATCCATTTCTAGATCATCCTGTTCAACTACAGATTTTCTTTTTTTTTTTTTGAGACAGAGTCTCGCTTGTTGCCGCAGGCCTATACAGTGCAGTGCCCCCCGGAGTCAGCCTAGCTCACAACCAAACCCTTAACTCAATAGGCCCAGCAATCTGCGTCAGCCTCCCAAGAGCTAGCTGGGACTACGCAGGCCATGCGCACACATGTCTGACTATTTCTATATACTTGTTATTGGCATTTTGTTTTATTTTCTTTTCATGTTGTTAGATGGGCGGTCTGCGTCTTGTCAGCGCTGGTTTCGAACTCCTGATCTCGAGCATCGTCCACGCCGCCTGTGTTCTCCCAGAGTGCTAGGATTACAGGCAGTGAGCCACCAGGCCGCCTGGTATTTTGGCCTTCAATAGTTTAAAATAGAACGCCAATTGTCATCGAAGCGTAGGTTGTACCCCAGACCAATTTGTCTTTGAGGATTTTGTTTTATTTTTTTAACTTATGTAGTTTTCATTAGTTGATTTTAAGTTGTAGTGTAATGTACTAAAAGTTAGCTTTTGACAGTGGCCTAATAGAACTGTCTTTGCTACTCTTTGTTATTTTCCCATGTTTAAGCTAGCAAAGTTTCTTATTCCAAGTGCCCTTGCTTCTCCTAGGACAGGGCTTTTATAAGGGCTCAGGGAGTACCTTATAAAGCCTAACCCTCACTGCAGCAGATTATAGTGGAGCGTGAAGAGCTAAATTTAGAGGAAAGCCAAGCCTCTGCCCCAAATAGTAACAGCTAAAGGATAGATAACTCTCTGTAAGCAGAATATCTTCATTTAGTCTTTCACTACCAGTGGGTGAGTTTTTTCTTTGTTTTTGTTTGTTTCAATTTTTGGTGTTATTTATATCAAAATCTTTGAGTACATTTGTATGTTTGCATGTTATTTATTATGTTATCTTCCACATGGAATATATCAAGGGCGTGAAAAATAAGTGCACATAACTGGGCTATGAAGAAACAAACTTTTGTGCTTAGAAGTAAACTAAGTATAAAAGCTAAAGGTTTTGAAAATAGAGTAATTCTCTCATATGTTGTGTTTGGTGATAATTCCTCATTAACAGAAAAAATAGAAACAAAGTGTAAAGATAGAGTTAATTAGGGAATTCCAAGAATTTGTATTCTAAACCCCAAAATAAAACTTTTAGAGGGACTCACACTTTTTATTTTGTAAATTTACAAAATTTTAAACATCTTTAGCTGGGGTGTGGTGGCATTCAGCTACTCAGGAGGCTGAGGCAGGAGGATTGCTTGAGCCCAGGAGTTCACAGACAGCCTGGGCAAGATAGTGAAACTCTGGTCTCTAAAAAACAAATAAATGAAAACATCTTTGGCAGAGAGTAATTCCTTGCTTACATGTTCACCTGCCGGAGAAGTTTCAGGCTAACTGAGCTCTATTTATATTCTTGCATCATGGTACAGAACCCAAGCTCTTGACAGATATTTTTCTTTGCTAACGTAAGAATATATTTTGTATAATATCTATTGTACTGTGGAGGTGGGGAGCCAATGAGAGAAACGCACATACATTATCATCACTTTTATACCAATACAATATTTCCTGATCGTGAGTGAGTGTTGAAAATGCCAACAGGGAAATTTCTGAAGAAAAGAGTTTTGCAGTGAATATAAATGATGTGTTAGAAGTTCAACTTCCAACACTCATTAAATGAAATGGGATTTCATTGATTAAGATTATAGCATTTGTAACTTTAAATAGATGTGGCCATTGCACTATACACAGAATGACTCCCAGTTACTTTCTCTACCCTCCTAGTCTGTGCTTCTGTTGTTTCAACTATGACATTGTATTGCAAATGTCTGGGTTTTATCCCTCCCACTGGGTTCCTCGAGGGCATGGCTTCTGGCTTAATGATCTTTGTATCTCAAAGCATGATGTATTAAGTTCATTTTACTTTATAGGATTGATAAAAATTGTCTGCTCAAACCGTGTAATAAATTACTTTTTGTGCTTACTTTATTTTTAATTAGTTTCACTTTTAAAATAAAATAATAATCAAGTTGAAGTTTTCAATAATAAACAGATTTTTTTTTATACTTTTAAAATAAAATAATAATCAAGTTGAAGTTTTCAATAATAAACAGATTTTTTTTTATGTGAAGCTGTAAGTTTCTCTTTCATGGGGAGGAAGGAAGATTTGATACATAAATTAAATAATAATTTTTCTATATTCTTAAGGATTTTTAAAGAACCTTTGAGAAGTAATTAAATAATGTATTTATACTATAAATTTTCTTGATGGTGTATTTGGCAAAATCTAGACATTTTCAAATCAATTTCTAAAAGCTTTGAAAAGTAATGACATCCTTGAATAATGCACATTATCTGAAATGTTTGGCCTTCATAATTTAAGCAAGGTAGACATATGTTCAGTTTATAATATTTATGCCACCAAGCTTATTTATTCTCAACTCTTAAGAGGTCTTGTGGAGCAGGTTTTACAGTTTTTAAAAAAGATAATTCACTATATTTTTAATTGTATATTAAATCCAGTAGAAGAATATAAAGTACCCAAATCCCCATCCACTGCGGCAAACAAAAAGTTAAAAACTTGTGAACGGTTTCTTGTATCCTTCTTAAATTTTTCTTGCATAGAAAATCATACATTGTGTACATCCCCTTTTTAGCCAAGTACTTAACATTATTTTATTCAACTTGCTTTTTCCCACTAACAATATGCCTTGGACATCTTTCCATATCAGCGCAGCAGCACTGACAAGTATTTATTAAATGCTTAAACTTTGCTCAGTATTTAGGTGCTAAAGATATAGCATTGAGTCAAACCTACAAGGCCCCTACCCTTTTGGAGGTCACACTTTCATGGGGGAAATAGGCCACAAATGGATAATAATAAAATGTCAGGCACTGCTAAAGCCTCTGAAGAGAAATAAAGTTAGGGATTGTCAGAGGGTGACAAGGGAGTGAAGTTGTCATGGGGATGGTCAGGAAAGGCCTCTTTGAAAAGGAGGCATTGGAATGAATGCAGAAAGTAAGGCATGTGGACAGCTGGGGAAGATCCTTCCTTCCCAAAAGAGAGACAGATACAGAACCTCAGAAACTGGACCTTGCCTGGGCTATTGGAAGCAAAACAAAGAGGACAGTGTGTCTGGAACTCAATGAATGATGGGAAGAGGTGTGCGTTGAATATACACACATAACGTGAGGGCCAGAAATGGAATATAGTTGCATCTAATTCATTCTTTCATAAGGCTTCGTGGTGTTCCATTTGGTGGCTAAATTATTCAGACTCATATTTATGGACATTTCACTTTTCATTTTTTTTTATATATCCAACAGTGCTTCAACTCAGTCCAATAACACATATCTAGCTATCTGCAGGTATATTTGCATTCTTACATGGGCATAACTGTAGGATAAATTCCCAGTAAGGTATTGCTAGACCAAGATCATGTATGTGTGAATATTTCCTTATCCTCACCAAATGCTTCCCAAAAGTATCACATGGAGTTTAACCTTTATGCCAAAGTGGATGTCTGGTGGTTTTCCCTATGTCCTTTGCCAACACTCAACATTGGTAAACTTAAAAATTTTTGCTAGTCTGATGGTCTAAATTAGATCTCATTTTAAAATTATATTCAGTTATGGGTGAGGTTGAACATATATTTATTAGCCACATGTTTTTCATATGAACTGCTTGTTTGAAATAACATAATCTTGTTTTCGTTTTGTTTTCAGAAATTTTATGAATAAGCATCAGAAGCCAGTGCTAACAGGCCAGCGGTTCAAAACTCGGAAAAGGGGTAGGTTGCATTTTGTGTTTGTGGGTGTGTGGCTATCAGTGTGGGGGTGTATTTATTTAAATTTCTAGTCAAAATATAAAATTGGAGGAGAAGAATTCAAATAATCTCTGTTTTCACCTAGCCTCACTAATTCTACTAATTTGAGGTCTGAATGTAGAGTCTGAAGTTCTGCATTTGAGCCCTCAAATTGCCAGCTACTTAGGTGTTTGATGTTGGACAAGACATTTAACTTGCCTGAGCTATGTGTCTATTTACAAAGCGGGGGTAATTATACCTGTTTACATTGTCTTACTCTGGTGAAGTTACGAAGGCAATCGATAAACTTTACCGATTTTGACATCAGCATTTATATTTGGTTTTTGCTTTCTTTGTTGTTTTGAGAAAGTGTTGATGGCAAAGATGGTAAAACTAAGAGAAAAGTAAATTAGGAGGTTATATATTAAAGATTTTTTTTTTTTTACTTTTTGAGAAATTAAGAAGTCGAATCTACTGCCCTAAATACTCTTAAAACCCTTAAAATGATATTTTCAAGTGTCTTTTATTGTGGAGAGAGGAGTAATAAACCCAGTTTAGTTTGATCACTGATAACATTTCTATTTGTGTGCCTTCTCTTTTTTAAATAATGTTCCTCTTAATGTCCTTTCTGTATAAAGAACATCTTAAACATGGTTTTACACTTAGACAGTTTTGCATAATGATATAGAGGTTCTCTTAGATAAAAAACTAGTAGAACTGAAACTCAATAGGGAAACTTTGAAAGAGGAAACATGGTGTAAATTAAGTTAAATAACATTAAAAGGAGTGACTGAGAAATATTTAAGGAAGTAAATATGTGTAGAATGAACACTGCTGAAGCATAATCCCATGTAATGATTTTTTAATACTGAATAGTTTGATCAATAAACCACTTTTGTGTGCCTTTGGCCTTGCCAGTGCTCAGGCAGCATCTGCAGCCCGTGTTCTCTTGCAATGCTGTGTCCACTTAAGTAGCAAGTCCTGTGGAAAGAAAAAAAGTCCCTATACAAGGGTACAGTACATCATTTGGATCATAGGAGTTTGCAAGAGTCACCAGAGACTGAATTTAACTGTGTGCTGCCTGCTGGAAAGCTTCAAGTTCACATACACAGACACAGACACACACACAAATATGAACATAAAAAAAAATTTAAAAGTAATCAGAATATGGTTATTTTGTACAGTATTTCTGTCTTGCACTCTCCTTTTTCTCGCTTTTTTTTTTTTCCTTCCTGGCTCATCCCCATAAGGTAAATAAGTACAAATATATAGCCTGAGCCACCTCCCTCTATTCAGTACTCATCTTAGTCTTAGAAATCGTGTCCCTGCTCCAGTTCCCCGTTGAAATCTGAAAACAGATCATCAAACAAAAGGTGCTAACCAGAATGCATTCATTGTCCCATTGTTTAAGGCAGTGTTGAAGGGAAAATGACGTGGATGATTTCAAAAGGACTTATCAGTAATGAACAATATAGCTCAGAAACCTGTTTACAGTTGAGGTATTGTGGGAGCTAGTAATGTGATAATAGTTAATATGTGCCCGACTGTGAGGCGCAGAAAGGTTTTCCACTGCCTGCCCACCGAGGGAACGTGTTAATCTCAGACCTGGATCTCCGGCTCAAGTGGCTTCATTAGTGTGACGCTGATTCACTGTAACTGAGCTGAGAGCAAGAAAGGGCCCAAGAATGTGTTGCACAACAGCAGATGTGGTTCAGCAAATAAACCGGCCCTTACCGTCTGTCTTCGGTTTAGAACAGGAGAGGTTTTCTCATTGTGAACAGGTTCGCCTCTGATTCATTCGGTGGTCAAGAGAGTACTACTAGAGTATGCAGAGAAGCTACTGAGAAATATATATTATTTGTCAGTTGATGCGGATTTATATAACTCAGGCCTGTTGGGAAATTAAGCAATACTTGAGCCATTTTGTGCCAAGCTGCTGATTGGGGAAAGAAAAAAATTGAGTCAACCTCGTTTTCTGCTCTTCGTAGTAGGGAATTACCTCCTGACAATTTATCATGCCATGGCTTTTCTTTGCTGTTATAAAGGGGCTGACTTCAAATAAATGGTTAGCAGTTTTGTAGAGCCGAGGCGAAAAAAAGCTACTGAGGGTATTTCAAGGTCATTTTGATAGGCTATTTTCTGAAGATCTGTCATCACTTTGAAACTATTTCCTAGCAAAGCTAATGCTCTTGGATGCCAAGTTAGTATAACGATGTATTTCTTATTGCTTAACAGTAAATGTAAACATTATGATAAGACACAATATAGAGAACTCCATTCAGGCCCTATTTTCCTTTATGAAATGCTCACATCTTGTTTATGGCATGTGCTCCAAAGTTGTTATGTTTTCCAGAGCGGCTTGTGGGAGTCTGAGAATTTCTCCCACAAGCCATTGTTACGCTTTGCTAAATTAAATATTTGCTGATTGAACTGGCCTTTCCGTATGGATTTTTAGAGAAATTGGATTAAAATTAGTGAAAATAGGAGAGCAAAAATGGCCAAATTGCAGGCATCTAGAGTGACCATGTACTAAGGTTTGTGCCTCACACTTTAGCCCTGTGCTGTTGGTTTTAAATCACTCTTAGATTCATGGTAAGTGGTGATAGTTAATAGTTGAGTAAACCTTTACATTTTGAAATATATGTAAATATGTGTGTGTGTAGTTAGAAAATACATGATATGTTTAATTCGTTTACTAAAACTTCAGTGATATTTATAAAGGAATGTAGGTTATGTTATTTATCACTTAATTAGCAGGTTGGAAAAATACTATATAAACCAGTTACTGTAGTTCCATAGTAAGCAAGTTAGATAAGATATAGGCATATTTAAGTGTCAGTAATAGGCCTGTTTCTCTAGGTCAGTACAAAGGCTGTTATGGCTAACTCTTTAGTGTCACACTTGCGATTCACCAACACAGTATACATTTCAGACCCTAATAATGATACAATCCCATTTCAAGCAAGGTTTGAATTGCCAAATAGAAATTCAAGGAGGCAATGTCATATTTTCATTAGAATTTTGTTAGTATATTTGCTAGACTGCCCTCAAATAAAATACAAGCTGCATGTGCTGTTTTTTCAGATTAATAGGAATCTTTAGGTAAATTGTTGTCTTGTTTCCCAAATTTCCATTAGTGTTCTTGCCATTTTCTTGTATGGGAATGTTCTATTCCTCTTGATGGGTCTTAGTCTTAGCAAGTGGGAGCTTTTTTCACTCTGTAAGAGAATTATCATGCCACTATAACTTTTTAATATTCCCAAGCTATAAGTGGTCATTTCGATCTAATACCTTATTGTTGTCTATTGAAATATCCTTGGCCATGATATGCTATCTTCCTTTTTCTGTTTCTTGGCAATTCTTTTGGAAAATTATAATGAGAGGATAAAGACCTTTTTACAGACAAGTTTTAAGTTGTCTCTTAAATTCAAAACAAAGCCCTCTGCTTGGATTCTCGGCATAGTCTGGGGTTTTCCTCATTTACCAACTTATATTTCCCAATGCCTCCATTCGCATTTTCAAAATCGTCAAAATCTGTTCTACCACCTGAGCCCACCTCCAAGCATGCTGTAGTGCCCTTGTGGCAATGGCCTCAGTTGATTTTGGAAGCTGGTCACAAGGCTTAATAAACAGCTTGTGGTCTTTTTACTTGTATTTTCATATTATAGGAAAGAAAATACCTTTCTCCAAGGAGAAAGGAGAATTACCCTTTGGCTAGAGACCCCTAAGTGGGAGGTGAGGTTTTCCTTGCTTGCCAGTGGGTTCCTCTTGTGTAGAGACACAGTTATCCCCTCCTCCAGCTCCACATAATATATTCCTCTAGAGTTCTCATCCATTTTCCTCCCCCTCTGCAAAACAAGACCCCAATTATATTTTTTTCCTGCAGTCAACATTTGCATGTTCTTGGCTGCATAATGTTTTGCTTAAAGCATCAAAAGGACTTTTCATCTCTTGCTCATGATGAATATTGTTCCAGTTAATTTATGTGTGTCTTTATGGTATGCTGCGTGACTCTGACTGGTACTGGGCATGCCATTCTTCTCTGGTTCTGATGCTGATGTCATCGGTGTTAACCGATTACAACCCATCCCTTTTGTTATACGACTAGGAGTAGTCAGTCTGTACAAAGTAAGCAGTTGCTGTGTGGTTTTTAAATGTAATTTTTAATTTTATCAAGGTTGTGCATTCACCAGGCATGGCTATTTCTTTGTCTTTCTACTGGAAGTATTAAGCATGCACTTAACTACTGTGGAAGGTGAGGATTCAGCTCTTTTTCACTGCCCTGCCCGCCTGCATACCTCCTGTCCTTCTTCGCTGTTCCCTCATTCTGTCATAATTTCAGCTAGACCAGTGTCTAGGGTTTATATTACTGTGACTTTATACGTGCTATTCACGGGCGAACTGTTATTTGATTGCTTTCCTTTTTCTGAATGTCATTTTTGTTATCTCTGAATTTAATAAATTTAATAATTTTTCTCCCCCCCACGCTAGTTTTTTGTGCTATAAAACTATTCAATTCTAACCTTTCTTTCCCTTTGCCGTTGTGTAAATCTCTAAGTACAAAACACTTCAGAATTTATGGCGAAGATAGTATTAAAGGAATTCTTATGTCGTATCATATTATTATATTGAACAACTTTCTTTCCTGGTCGAGGTGCTGTGTAGGCCAGTTACAGAGCTGTGAACCGAAATGCTCGAAATGTCCGTTCACCATTATCCACAAAAGTACTCTTGCCTGTCTCGTGTTTCTCCCTTTTTTTCCTGGGATCTCCCGACTTACTCCTTAGTTATTCACTATTTTTGAGACCTTAAATATTTCAATATACATATATTCATTCTGCTCTTACCCTTGATTAAAAGTTTGGCTAACTTGAATTCTAAGTTGGAAATTGTTTTCCCTCAGAATTCTGATGAATTTCTTCTAGCTTCTGGCATTTCTGTTGAGCAATTCAATGTCTGTTTCTTAATACTTATATATCACTTGTTTTTTTTTTGTCCCAGAAACCTTAGATAGTTGCTGTGTTCCCAGAATTCTGATATTTCACCATAATGAGTGTACTTTGTGTGGATCTACTTTCAATCATCATGCTGGGTGCCCAGACAGCCAAAATTATTTGGAAACTCACACCCTTCAAATCTGTAAAACTTTACTGAAATTTTTAAAATAATATCCTTTACTTTGTTTTTCTTTTCTTTTCTTTTCTTTTTTTTTTTTTTTTTTTTTGGCTACTATTTTAAAGCCTTTGGTCTTTTTATTCTAGTTTCTAAGAGATATTCTTAACTTTCTCTTTTAATTCCTCCGTTGAGTTTTTCACTTTTCTATTTTTTGTTCCCAATAACTCTTTTATTGTTTATAAAATATTTTTATAGTTTTCTCTTTCCTTCTTCTTCCTCTTTCTCTTCCTTTTCCTTCCTTTCCTCCTTCCTCCTTTTCTTCTTCTTCAAGTTGCAGCATCTTCACTTTAGCTCTCTAAAGATATTTATGATACAGTTTTTTCTTTTGAAATGTTGAGTTCGTTTACTCCTCTCTCCCAACTTCCAGATTTATTCTCCATGGGTTGGGGGCAGGGTGGGGAAAGGTAATGTCCTTAGAATTGAATCTTCCATCCTTTACCTTTAGTATATTCATTTTCTCTTTCCTAGTCTGACCTCTGGTTTGTCGTCTTCATTTTTCAACATTATATGATCTCTGCTTTGTTCAAGACCTGGCTCCAAACCAGTCTTCCAAAAGAAGTCTTGCTAGATAGAGTCTAAACCAAAACTCCTTCCAAATCCTGATCTTACCACACATGTGTGCCGTTCACCATTGCAGTTCCCTTGTGCCTTTCTATATCAGTCTTATCAATGCTAATGAATACATATTCTAAAATTATCTGTTTTAATTTCTAGTAAAACAAGTATCCATAGATATAACCTCCATAAATTAAAAAGCTCTTTGGAATCTTCGTACTTTTAGAGTGTCAAGGGGTCATAAGACCAAAAAGTTTAGAACATCTGCTCTGAAGCTATAAATATACATATGTAGCTCATGGCATTTATTAAATATTTAAGTATTCTGGAATAAATTATCTTTTAAAGAGGCATCTCTCCTTATTTTCCCCTCCCAATCTTTATTTCTTATTTATATCTATATATTTTCTTGTATTATTTGGTGATTCTCTGTGGGTCCTTTTCTATCTCAGATGAAATAAAAATTTAAATTTTGATTGTTATACTCTCTATTTTTTTCTCTGATTAGGGTTAGTCGATTACATTGGCCTATCCTATAAGTGACAAACATAGATAATCATCAATTATATTGTGTATTAGAGTTAAACATTTCTGTGGCCATATTGAACAGAAATAAATTATTTGAGTAAATGTTTAAATAAGGAGTTTCAGAGCATGGAAATCTGATAGAAAAATTTAAATTGTCCTTTAGCTTTTAAATAATCACATTATCAAACAGCCCTGTGAACAAAGTAAATATACGGTTAGTATCTTTGGAGAATATGATACGTACACAAAGGAATAATCTTATGAATTTTTCATTTTAGATGAAAAAGAGAAATTTGAACCCACAGTTTTCAGGGATACACTTGTCCAGGGGCTTAACGAAGCTGGTGATGACCTTGAAGCTGTAGCCAAGTTCCTGGACTCTACAGGCTCAAGATTAGATTATCGTCGCTATGCGGACACACTCTTCGATATTTTGGTGGCTGGCAGTATGCTTGGTAAGCCATGCATTATCACATCTTCTAGTAGTGTGTGTGTGTATGTGTGTGTGTGTGTGTGTGTGTATTTCCAATTCTACTTAAGTATTTCCCTATAAGATAGAATCTTTATAAGCTTATATATTTACTAGAGTTGATGTAAAACACAAATGGGAGTCCATAATTTTTTGCCTTACAATTTGGAATGGTATTAATGTGGGTGATTATTGGTTAAGAAAGGCATAGAAACAAGGGTTATTGTTGACATTTGGTCACAGGTGGCCACTTTGCTTTGGCTAAAAGCTAACTTTCCCAGTGTCCCTAATCTTTGAATGTTTTTGAGGGTTCATTAAAAGGCTAATTTCTGCAGAAGCACATAACTTAGTGCATGTCATCTAGATCCTTCTTGTATAATGAACCCAAATGTCACATAGCAGCTTTTCTTTTGAACCTTGCTCCTTTTTTCTTAAAAGACATAGGCTTTGTGTTGTTGCCCAGACTGGAGTACAGTGGCAGGATCATAGCTCATAGCTCACTGCAGCATCAATCTCCTGGGCTCAAATGATCCTCCTGCCTTAGCCTCCCAAGTATCTGGGACTACAGCTGCACACCACTGTGCCTGGCTAATTTTTTAATTTATTTTGCATGGAGACAAGGTCTCACTATATTGCCCAGGCTGCTCTCAAATCCTGGCCTGAAGTGATCCTCCTTCCTTGGCCTCCCAAATTGCTGAGATTACTTACAGATGTGAACCACCTTGCCTAGCCTAAACCTCATTTTTTTTTTAAATCCTTTTGATCGTGAGTATATAGTTGGGAGAATTAAAGATAGAAGACTAGAAATTAATAAAGTAGGTAAAAGTAAAATGAAAGCTTCATTTTATGGAGCAGAGACATTAGGTAAGAAGGCTTCAGATTACTATGTAAGTGTCTTAAATCATTGGTCCAAGTGTTTGTTAGGTATCGTAACCACTTATTTTTCCTTTATTCTTTTAGACCTTATTTCTTATAATTAGTACCTGTGGTAGCCATTAATTACTAGAAGTGGTCAAATCTCCTAGGACAGTGATTTTCAATTTGCAAACATGTGGAAGTGTTTGGTTGTTACAAAGACGTCAGGGTGGGGTCCAGGTATGCAGCCTAACCTTCCCTACTTGGGACATACCAGGAAGTGAAAGAAATGCCACAGTGCCTTTTCTTGAGAAACACTGCTTGAGGCAATCTTCCTTGGCTTTGAGACACAGTGAATACATTCCTCTATTTTGAGGTGGAGCTGCCCTTAAATTCTTTTTTCTCTGGGCTCTTATTTCAAGCAATCTGTTTTGATACATGGCTCCATGTACCGTGTTTTCTAGAAAATAAGACCTACCCATAAAATAATCCCTAGTGATGGGCATGGCTACGCAGCGTATCTGCACACCCCATGCATTTTGTCGCGGAGTGGTAAAGAAAATGAGCAGCCCTTCTCATCTGCCCCATCATGACAGCTACTATCCCAGAGGTGGCCAGAAAGGTGTGGGCAGCCCCACCAACAAGGTCGGCTCCCCATGTCAGGTCCCGGCCATCCTGTGTGTGCTGCAAGCTGAGGCTTTGAGGGGAAAATAACACATCCCCTGAAAATAAGCCCTAGGGTGTCTTCTTGAGGAAAAATAAACATAAGACATCTATGGTGTGTCCAAATGCCAATACTCAGAGATAATCATTCTTAACATTTTGGTTAATTCCCTTCTAGAAATCTCTTTACCTCATAAACTTTTGAAAATTGGGTGATACAAATAATTTGTATGATATTATACAACTATGATGCTTTACATGCTAATTTATATTCATTCAGTAATATGTTATTATTTTTCACACTCATAAGTGTTACACTGGATGACTCTAAAACAAATTAAAGCCAAACTGATGTTAAAGAATATTTAAGTTGATTCCACTTTTTGCTGTTATAAACAACAATGTCATCAATGTCTGCACATACTTATCTTTGTGGTCTTATATTTATCTACTTAGCAAAGGATTGATGGATTAAAGGATGGAGATATTTATATCTATATCTACCTATCTGAGAAGCCAGCCTTTCAAAAGAATGTTCTGGTTAACATTTTTGTCAAAAATCTTGAGTCCTTTAGCAATGTTAGGTACTCAATTCTGTCAGTTTTTTATATCTTTGTGCATTGGGTTACTGATAAATATTTACAGTTAAAATTTTTAAGTCAATAGTGGAATTGAACATTTCCTGATATGATTATTGGCTTTTCGTATTTCATTAACTATGGCATATTTTTATCAACACACTGGTAAACTCAATACAAGAATAATTTTCAATGACTTTTGATTCTTCTTTAAATCATACATAAATGTGTTAGTCTGTCAGATGGTCCCTTTTCAGTCCTGAGTGACCTCCAGGCAGCACTGTTGATGCTTCTGTCATTCCTGAGTTACTTTATACTCTTCCCTTACATGAGACCACCCAGACCTCCTCCCATGTCTCTGGATGCAACTTCTTACGTGACTTCCCCATATTAAATTATCTGTATAGACAGTGTCACTCTGTTGCCCAGGCTAGAGTGCTGTGGTCATTAGCCTAGCTTACAGCAACCTCAAACTCCTGGGCTCAAGCAATCCTCCTGTCTCAGCCTCCTAGGTAGCTGGTACTATAGGTGCATGCCACCACACCTGGCTAATTTTTCTATTTTTATTAGAGACGGGGTCTTGCTCTTGCTCAGGCTGCTCTTGAACTCCTGACCTCAAGTGATCCACCCACCTCAGCCTCCCACAGTGCTAGGATTGCAGGCATGAGCCACCGCGCCCAGCCGAGATGCATTCTTTTTTATATGAACACTTTGTTTAATTATTAAGTATGTAGGAATTTTCTTCACACACACACAAAAAATTTACTTTCTCTCATTATTCTTGAAACAACAGCCATCTTGGTCTTTCAGTTTTACCCTTTCTATAATACCTACAAGAAGTACTTTACTTTTACTTATACCTTGAAGAAAACAGCAGACACTCCAAAAATGTTAGAAATGGCAGCTAATAGTTGGTCCCAATATAAGGAAAAATAAATTGGAATGCAAGCTATAGCAATATTATTAGTGTGCAATAAGTGTTCTGTATAAGAATGTAACTTTTAAAACTAGCTATTAAAAGAAAAGTCTACAGTTTCAAAACCAGACTTTTCAGTTATGTAATTTCTATCAGGTAGGAATAATTAGCCCAGAGTTTTTAAAGGTATTCATCTTAATAAAATTTTGTTCCAGGTGGTTGTATTCATTAAAAAGGGCTAATTAAATCTCATGCATATATTAATTCAGTGAAAATAGACTCCTGAAGGAGCTGACTCCTCCAAAAACTAATTTACTTATGAAATTGTATGCTGGAGTCTGAAGCCTATAGAGGAGGTGATAGGCTAAGGAGAATATAATTCAGCTGAATTCTCATTCGCCTGTGTCTACTAATAAAGGTGGCTCTGTGTGTCCCCTTTCATCCAGAGATCTGAAATCACAAGTCAAATCAAGGCAGTTATACACTAAAACACAAATAACATGAGTGGCTGATATACTAAAACACAAATAACAGGAGTGGCTGGTTAATGGAAGATAGTCTTTGTCTTTTCTACTCACTTGGCCTGCTCAAACTTTCTACCTTAATTACAGTGAAGTCAAATCAGAAAACAGAAATACCATTCTGTTCTGATTCCATTCTTCCAATCAACCAGTGCAGGAGCCTTTGAATATGGAAAGCTGAATTGGAGAAAAAAGGCATTCTTTTGTTCTAGTCTATGGGGGAAAAAGATGAGAGAGAATAAAATATTTTCCTGGCCAACATGCCTGCCGAGTAATCAAATTCAAATGGTAAGGAATTAGAGTGCAGGCTGCTCAACCATACACTGGTAGCTGGGTTAGTGAAGGAGGGAGCAGTGTAAATGGCCACCCAAGTAAAAGCCAAAAAGATCTGTAAGAGTCAATTCTGATCCACTCTATAGTTGATGAACTAGACTCCAGCAAGACATTATCAAGTCTGAAAAGAGAACCATGTCCTGATGTGGAAAAGATCTTGAATTGCATTAGGAATAATGGAATTAATTTCATTGATTAAAGGTTATTAGTGTAGCTTTCATGGTTAAGGTTATAGATTAAAACCACCTTTTACAAGTCAACAAAGGGGTACAAAGCAAGAACTGTGGTGAGGGCCTAAAACTCAGCGAGGGCACCGGACTAGCTAAAAGTAATGATAATAATCAACCACTGTCCCTCATTCACTGTCACCCTGTTTGCTTCTCTATAATTACCGCTGTGGAGTCACATAGCTGGTGGTCATAGAGACTCTTAACTTTCTCATAGATAACATCATCTTCTCGAAGCCTAAAGGTAGTTTCTGAGATATCTTCCAGGCCCTGAATTCCAGTAGGAAGGCTGACCCTTGCAGACCAGTGGCCCATACCAAGGAACTGACTCAACTGGTTTAACACCCTACCCAAGAACCATATTATATTATAAACATAAACAAATATACAGCAACATCTATACATCCACATATGCATATCATTCTTTGAAATTTTAAGTGATTCTTAGGTTATACATCTACTTTCATTGTTTTAGTTGATGTGTCAGAATTGATCTGTTCTGCAAAGGCTATTCTCAATTTTTACTATTATCCTAACTGTGATTACCTTCCTCTTTTCAGCCCCTGGAGGAACACGCATAGATGATGGTGACAAGACCAAGAAGACCAACCACTGTGTGTTTTCAGCAAATGAAGATCATGAAACCATCCGCAACTATGCTCAGGTAGAGCCTGTCACTGAGAGATTACCATTATGTTAGAAGGGAAGCATTTGAACAGTATTAAGGAACACATTTAGGTTCAGAAAATAAACAGCCCACTTTTTAAATAGGAATGTTAGCTCTTAAGTGTATGAAAAGATACTCAGTTATACTCTTAATAAGACAATGGGCATTAAAACTATAAGAAGATATCTTTTTTTTTAATTTACTTATCTATTTTTACCTCTCATGGGGAGCCACATGCTCACAGCAATTTCTGGTGGGAGTATAAATAGGTCCTACCTCTATGGAAAGCAATTTTGTACTCTTTCTCAAAACTAAAACTGCACATTCCCTTTAACTCAGTAATTTCACTTCTGGGACTTCATCCTGCACATGTGTGAAACAACACATACAGTA